AAACATCGGCCATAGTAATGGTCATTGGACCATGACCAAATACAAAAGCATTAAGGGCATTGGACCAGAAATAAGATGCGGAAATCAAGAGTGAATCATTCCTCTCCATCCCAGACAACGAGAGTGTCAAGCATTGATTAAAATCATAAAGTTCCCAATCTCCACCCTTTTTCTCAGACACCCTATGGAACCAAAGTCTCCATCCCTTAGGCATTTTGGGCTAATTTCTGAAGGGAGTTTTGGTATTCCAAGAGGACAAATCCACTGTAGACTTTTTGAAGGAGATTTGGTTGGTTTCTTGACAGATGAAATCAGATGGATCGGGATCACCCATAGGCCTGACAAAATAAGCATTGGGAATAACAGCTAATGGAATCAAGATTTTGTTCCTCATTTCCTAGGAATCAGATAAAATAAGTTTGAGGACAAAGGAAATACAGGGTAGCGACCGACTGTTTGAGAATGGGAATTTGAAAGCATACCTCGGGGACGTGGTCGCTGGTCGCCATTACCACTGAGACGGATGTGAATCTGAGGAAGACCGCTCGAATAAGAGCTTAACGGGGCGGAAGATTTGCTAGGGTTAAAGCTTTGGCGATGGCGACGTCGGCTGTTGAGATTTGCTCGAGGAAAAAGAGGAAAGCAAATAGACCGAGTGAGTTAGAAAGGATACTATTGGGACATTATATAAGACTCGGCCCAGGAAGTCAGGACTCGCGCGTATATCTCGGAGCAAAATGGTTGCGGCGTGGTAAACGGATAAATAGGAATTTTGGAATAAAATCACTTTTATCCTAAAATTGGGGGGCATGTGTTTACACCAAAATTTGGAAAGAAGAACACAGGAATTCGAAGGCTTCCAAAATTATGCCCATCAAGGAATCGATTGCATGAGGATCGATATCAGCTAATTTAGATACGACTCTAGAATCGGATCTCTTTGGATGACATCAGCAGATAGCGATGATGAGCTACGGTTGGCACCAGGAAATTGCGTATTGGACTCTACAAAAAGAAAAAGATTATGGTCCAAGTTATCTTAAATTAGGAATGTTTTCTTCTATGCCAAAGATTGTAACAAGTCATGCTCGAGTAGGATTCATGTTTAGGCTCGGGGTATAAATATCGAACCCCGGCTATTGTAAAGACACACAATCAATCAAATACAAGTTACTTTTTTCGGCTTCGTCCACCCCTTAGGAGTAGGAGTAGAGTAGATCTCGATGAGTTCTTCAGCAAGTAGGGCTGCATCGGTCTGGCCGACCTCTGGCTTGTCTATAAGTACCGTCATGGCTTATGCTTCTGTTCGTACGGCTACATTGATCCGGTCGACCTCCACTGCGACTCTGGTATAAGCTAGTTATCGACTCTTGTTTAGTTTCAGTACGGCTGCATCGATCCGGTCGACCTCCACTGCTTGAACTAGATTAAGGTCAAGTTATCTGCTCTATCTAAGGGTGGCGTTCCTTCCAATAGATTCATTAAGTTACCGATGTTGCTTGTTGCTTTCATTATTTATTTAATTACAGCAATATCACTTCGCCCGATTGGGATTGAATTAGATTGGCCTTATATCATGTTTAACCTATCGTTTGCTAATCTAAAATTGATCTAATCTGCACCTTAAACGATGAGTTATATTTTTATCGGTTATTTTATGTCAATCTTAATCATGCATAGTGTGCGGTTAAGGCGTGTCAGATCCTGAATAGATTTATTGGCTAACGGAAACCGTTCCATGGCCTGTGTGATTCTGCCTCATACCCCACTGTTAGCATCGTGGAGTGGGGATCATTACTTAGTAGATCTGTTCCTGATAGGGCGTGACCTTAACTGTGCGCTATGCCTGAATCGGCTGTTTTAGCCGATATCGAGTGCTTTCACACATGTAGTTCATGTCACGCGACCGTTGAAGTAAATATAGGTTGAAAGATGTGTTCGCCCCATGATCTTATTATTGTATTACGGCCTGCATAATTCTGCCTCATGCCCCACTGATATTAGTAATGAGTTAGAGTCATCAAATCTATTGTTGTTTCTACGGCCTGTATGATTCTGCCTCATGCCCCACTGGTCATAGCGATAGATGAGATCTAATATGTTCATTAGATTTATCTTTATTAAATGGTTAAATGATGATGAACTGCTTATTCTATATAAAAAGGGATTCGGTTACTTGCAGTCACTGGCTTAGCATAAATTAATTATTGTTGACATCCTTTTGCCATTGACTAATATTTATCTAAATAACGAGATCTATCCTGAGCGATAACCGATTTACCTTCCATAATTCCATGAGCTTTAATTGATTTATTCTTATGAGTATGCTAAAATCGACTATTCTTCCACATCGGCTCTCAGAGCCACACATTCGGGACAGTCTGCCAACACCGGCATGTTCCGCCTTAAATTACTGATTAGCTTTCTCTCCTTGTCAATTACAGGGTCAAATTGACTGGCCCGTCTCGGGAGGAGTGCGTAGAATCAACCATCCCTACGTTGAAGCTAGGTGGATCTCCAGCTCCATCGAGCGGACCCTTCCGACTTGCTCGTGTGCCCTCGGCACGGGACGAAATTTCGTGCCGATAGTGTTCGTGCCTCAAAAAGCCATTAAAGGTCAAGCTTTGGCTAATTTTCTAGCCGCACATCCCATACCTGATGACTTTCCCATTGATGATGATCTACCAGATGAGGTAGTCTTCACCACTACGGTGTCCAATCCTACATGGAAAATGTATTTTCATGGTGCTTGCCGGAAATCAGGAGCAGGCGCAGGGGTCGTGTTTGTCACACCATACGAAGTAATATTTCCATATTCCTTCACATTAACTTCAGCAGTTTCAAATAATGCTGCTGAATATGAGGCTCTAATTATCGGGCTTGAAATGACTCACAATATGGGTTTAAACACACTCTCTGTATATGGAGACTCCCAATTAATAATTAACCAATTGTTGGGAATATATACGGTAAAAAAGCAAGGGCTTTTGCCATATTTTTGGAAGGCAAAAGAACTAATGGCTATGTATCCTGATTTGAAAATTCTGCATGTTGTAAGAAGTCAAAACGAGAAAGCAGATGCATTGGCAAGCTTAGCTACTAGCATGTTGCTAAATCCCTATCAAACTGTGAATGTTCACATAGAGGAACGAAGAGTCCTCCCCATACTTATTGAGGAAGAGGACGTGTCATCTACTTCAGCCATGACTATAAATACGTACGAAATTGAGATGGGTGATTGGAGAACACCTTTTCTCGATTATCTCCTTCATGGATATTTGCCCCTAGACTCTAGTGAAAGGTCTAGGATTCAAAAGAGATCACTGAATTATACATGTATAAACGACATGCTCTATCGGTGTTCATGCGATGGCATTTTACAATGAAGTAATCAAAGCTTTAAATGAAGTTCACTCTGGAGTGTGTGGCGCACACCAATCTGGACCCAAGCTACACTACCAACTAAGACATTTAGGTTATTATTGGCCTACAATGTTTGATGATTCTATGAAATTTGCAAAGAAATGCCATGAATGCCAAATACATGGTAATTTTATACATCAGCCCCATGAACCATTACATCCGACTAATATGTCTTGGCCCTTTGAAATGTGGGGAATGGATGTTGTTGGGCCAATAAATCCCCTGTCTTCCAAGGGATAGAAATTCATTCTCACCGCAACTGATTACTTCTCTAAGTGGGCAGAAGCTGTAGCACTAAAAGAAGTCAAAGCGGAAAATGTTGAAAACTTTATAAGAACGAATCTTATATATCGATTTGGGGTTCCAACCCGAATGATATCTAATAATGTCACGTCTTTTAAAAATAGACAAATAGAGAAGTTGTGTGCTAAATTCAAAATTAAGCATCACTTCTCCACAGGTTATGATCCAGCCACTAATGGTCAAGCAGAAGCACTCAATAAAGTGCTATGCAAGTTGCTTAAAAAGGTGGTCTCACAAAATAAGAGACACTGGCATGAAAAGTTACTCGAATCCTTGTGGGCATATAGGACCACGACTCGAATGCCAATGAAAATGACTCCTTACTCACTTGTGTACGGTGGAGAGGCGGTCCTGCCACTAGAGGTGTAAATTGCCTCCTTAAGGGTTGCTATCCAAGAAGAACTCAATGAAGATGAATCGGCGAAATTACGCCTAAGAGAACTAGACAACCTCGAAGAAAAACGTCTGCATGCATTGCAAAACTTGGAGTCATACCAAGCTAGAATGTCTCGAGCTTTTGACAAGCGCGTAAGGAGGAGGTCGTTCAAAGAAGGGGATTTGGTTCTAGCGGTCATTCGACCTATGAATATTACTCATCGAATGCAAAGCAAATTCTAGCCTAAATGGGAAGGTCCTTATATTGTGAAGGATGTCTACTCTGGTGGCGCTTATAGAATCATATCTCCGGATGGCGAGTATTGCCCACCGCCAGTAAATGGAAAATTTCTAAAGCGTTACTACGCATAGGGAAATATACATATTACGCTCCATTGCTACAAGAGCCTAAACTGTTAGCAAAAAAAAATGCTCCTGCATGAGCCTAAACCGTAAGAGAAAAAAAAATATATACTACATTGCAGCATGAGATAGCCTAAAGTACCAGTTACAAAGTTTAATTTGTGGGCAGCATGCAATCCATGGGTTTCACTGCATACGGTTACAGGACATTGGTCTACAAACTATGTATCAAAAAGAAGAGACGAATAAACGTAACAGACCAATGAGCCCTTCCAATGCATTGGAAACAAATAAAGGTTCTGCTGTACATCTGAATTACACAAGTAGTTCGGAAGTAAACCACTGATAATTGCAAAGCCAAATGAAACATGACATATGTCCCATAAACTGAGAGAAATAAATGTTCATAATTAACTATAGGAAATAAAATGCTCGAAGTCTGACATAAAGCTTGGCAAAGCGAATCGAATTAACTAGATCCATCAGTTGACTTTGGAGAGGATTTGGTTAAAATCAGTCAAAAGCTTCTCAGCCTCCTAGATAGGAACCATCGTCTTTGCCAGGAGGTCATCATTGGCTCTCTTGTTTGCCTTTGTAGTGGCATCACACAGCGCTTGTTCTTGCTCCTTCACTTCTAATTCCTGGGCAGATTGAGTCTTCAATAGCTTTTTCTCCTTCTCCTCCAGTTCCTTCAAGGCAAGGTTAAACTTGGCAACCTCTGCTAAAAGCTCAGCTTTCCTCTCTTCAACTGAAACCATTTCCTGGGCGGTAGCTTGGAGAGCATTTTTCTTAACTGAAAGCTTTTGTTTAACCTCGCCAACAGCTTGGTCTACTCGCCCAGAGCTTGCTTCAAATTCAGAGTGGGCAAGTTGCAATTGTTGGGAAATAGCAACCAGTTTGTCCAGCATAGCTTTGATCTTGGAAATGCTAGCGAAATTCCTAGGGAGACTAGTCGAAGTAAGTTGCAGGGCGGCACATCGCTCCGGCTCTTTCAAAGTAGTAACATCCAGCCCGTTGAGAACCTTTAGTGACACCTGATATGCTGTTGCCAAGAAAATCTTCTCCATCTCAGTCGTGTCCATGCTTTGCGTATCCTCAGATAACTCTTGGCCGGAGGATGGATGGTCAAGCTGCTGTCCACAATCTAAAAAAAGACATTAAACAAGTTCGTAATGGAATATGGCTGTTACGTGCACAAACAACATCTACAGATTTAATAAAAAACAAAATAATACCATTGATAAAAGCTGAAATTTCAGTTGAGTCAATGTCAGGAAGAACAACATGAGTCATATTATACGGTGACTTTGAAAAATCCCCACCTGACCCGTGGTAGTAATGTAGCTTTCAATAGAAGGAAGAGGCTGTAAATTGCCTTTCTTATCCACTATACCGAAATATGTAATGACTGTATAATCTTCATCTTCCAGATGCTCCATACTAGTGAGAGAATGGTTAAACTGATTGGGATCTTTGTCATTGAGAGTGACGTTGGGGGCAAGTGCAATGGCTGGGCCACAACCCTCATCCATATCAGTAAAATCAAGCCTTCTCTTGGCTGGTGGATCCCCATTATCTCTTGAAAGGATATTCATGGGTGGGTGACGCTTCTTGTTGTTCTCAACTGGCACGATAACTTGATTATCTATCAAATTCTCTTTTGCCAGCGGGTTGTCAAGTAACATAGGTTGGGATGAAGAACCGGCAGCAGGGTTTGTTTCAAAGTGATCCCGCTCCTAAAAAATGAGAAAGGAGTAAAATCAGTCATGAGAATAGAATTAATCTTCTTATAACTGCACTAGTTCATACGATGGACAAGGGAGAAGGAAAATATACCATGGCTGTTTGACCCTGATAGTCGATCTGTACACCCAGAAGGTTGTGCAGCTCTCTCTTCCAATGATCATTATTGGTCGTCTCTTTATTCATGATAGATACAACATAATCCTGCAGATGTTCTTCAGCTACCCTTTGCACCACAGTCAAGTCACGAGAGGATAAATTCCGAGGAGCAAGACCTGGGTGTATGTGATAGTCACATTGTCTAGCCCCGAAACTGATAGGGTCATAGAGGTTATCTTGACCCAGGCTGTGTAAAATGGAGTTAAATGGTTCTATGAAAGCACTGAACCATCTAACCCAAGCCAGTGAAGCACGTCCTACACGATACTCATCTGGTATGAGATGCGAGTCCTCATATATCGGGCGTAGAAGATGTCGCCAGTGAGCATATGCTATCCCAATGTTAGATTCAGTTACCAAACTAGTCAACGGAAGGTGAGGAACGACTTGATCCAACCCGAACTGTCGAGCTGCACGTTCCGGGTGGTTTTGCTCCAAAATGCAAAAGTCCGTCTTGTATGTAGCAATTCTCCATGGGAGCATACCACGACGAAGTGATAAATCAAATATTCTGTTGGTCCGAAGTGAGTTTGGTTGAGCTTTTGGGTCCTCGTCAAGAGGCTCGTAGGGATTCCACAAAATGTTCTTATCTCTACACAGAAGCTTATGAGCACTCTTGGGATTGAAAAGAGTTGGCTTCCTGGACATAGTATCCAGCATAGTTGGCCTCACTGAAGGATACGGGCAAACAGGGATATTGACATGCTTCATTTTGTTACCAAATACTGCCGGTATGTGGTCCCCTATCCAGCCAATCAGATAGTGGACAGGCCAAAGCCACCTCAAAGATGCAGGATTAATAGGCTTGGTGCTAATAAGCCTTAAAGAGTAATACAATGAACACAAAGCCGGTTGTGCCAAAGCAAATTGGCGGCCCAGAGTCATCCATGAGGCTGTCACTAGTACACCTGGTCGAATATATGGCCCCTCCGACAATCGCGAAGCAGCATATCCAGAGTGTTAGGAATGCAGCGGTATAGATATTGGAGAACTCACTACTATCAAAACCCGAAAGATTTCCTGAGGTGCAATGAAAGTAATCGCGCACCACTTTTGGAAAGTAACTTTTCCTCTGTCCTCAAGTTTGAGCCATGCCCTGTAGAGAGGCAGTAAAGTCTTTGGATACAACAGCATAGCCGACTCCATGTGAGCACGAGATGGAATGAATTCATCATAAGGTTCCCCATCCAGTGGTAAACCGGCCATGTTCTTCATATCTAAGAGGGTGATTGTACGCTCTCCGCGAGGAAATACGAAGGTGTTCGCAATCCCACCTCTCCAGTAGGGCTCTTACCACGGAGGGGGATATAGGGTATTTTCCTAAGGAATAGAAGATTGTCCCATAAATATAATCCTTGCCCGGTTTGCTTCCCTTGAGATGAGATGAATGATTAGTTAAAATTCTGGCAGCCCATTCATGATAACCATTAGGCATTGGGATGCGCTCTATCTCAAAATTTGCCCATCCAAAATCACCTGACACCACTCGGCTGCCCAAAGGTGAGGCCTATCAGATCAAGGTGTAGGTGCCAGTGTGTGAAGAAAACGGGCTAGAAAATGAGGTTGAGATCTCCATGCACGATTGGGATTGGAAAAACTAAAATCCCCTTCGACTTGTTGTTCTTCCTTGAGAGCAGGGCATGCCGTTTCATTATCAAGGGGTTCATATGGTTGCAATTTTGCCACTTTGTACAGAGGCGTCCTATGAGGGGGAGAAGGTAGTGGCGCGTCATCCATCTCCCTAAAGGAAAAAGGATGGAATAGGTGAATGCCGTAGTTCAATCAGATCCACCAGGTAACTCAAAGCATAAATCGATATAAACATATGGTACTGAGATAGAGGCGTATGAGAGCTAGAACAAAAATGCATTCGCATGGCAAACAAAAGTCAAGCAGTGGCTGCACGAAAGCCGTGATCAAAACAACAGACACCAGGCTAATAAAAAAAATCAAATTGTTTACATTCCAAATGCTGAAGGGTACTAATCGGCGTCGTATATGATGATCATGTGGAGATATAATAGACAAACAGCACCATCGTGCCTTCGGCACAGGTGCCGTCGTACGTCATAGCGGTGAACGGATACTCATCCACCAAAACTAGAATTCTTCGGCGCTCCAATCCTTGACGATTGTAAACGGAAAGAAACCAAAGGATTTAGGAACACCATAAAGACATACGGTGAAACTAAGGGAAAGAGTGGGAGAACCTTGTTTGGTTCGCAGCAAGCGAGTGTCTGTTGCCACGGAAATCCAAAAGGGATCTAAGGATGAGAATCCCTCTGGACCCTGGTTGGGAGAAGTAAATAACTAACCCCTATGTTCAGGCCAATATCCCACTACTTCCTATAATCTTGGGGATCATGGCTCATTCGTGATATGACCCAGAGGCGGCAAGAGGATAAGTAAAAAAAAAACGTGCTCCTTCATGAGCCTAAACTGTAAGCAAAAAAAGAAGAAGAAGAAATGTTCCATAGCTTCATGAGCATAAACTTAAGCTAAAAAAAGATGCTCTATTGTGACATGAGCCTAAACTGTTGGTATGAAAATAAACAAATGCCCCCAATGCATCTTCAATGCATCATGAGTTTAAACTGAATGCAACAAAAAAACAAAGTTCTTAAAATTAAACTGTGACCATGGAACGATCATTTAAAATGTTATGTCCTCCAAGAGTCTGATATAAAGATCAATATAACGTGAGACTATACGTCATTGTTTGATAAGTATCATTTATATGCGCAAATCTATGTGTGAATCAAGTGCCCCAAAATATGTTTTCAAAAAAAAAGCGAGATCATAAATAAAAAAAATTCAAGTTTCGAGCTCCGGATCCATCAACATATACGAAGTAGTTTTCGCATCCGGACCTCAAGGGAGGGGGCATCTGTTGACACCAATTTTGGCATACCCAAAATATGTGAAAATATTTATACCATATTAAATAAAATGGTATAGATGATCAAGTTTTATATGAATATGATATAGGCAAATAAGGAATAATGTAACATCGCTAAAGAGGAAAAGAAGATGGAGCAAAAAGAAAAAGGAGACACACATGTACATATATGCATGAACGTGTTCACGCCTGGAAAGAAAATGAAACTAATGTGTATATATATATATATATATATATATATATATATATATATATATGAGGTTGGCCATGAAATATAGTGCATACAAATATGCACGATGAGCGAAGGTGTATACCTATATAGGGTTCTGAATTTGAAAGGGCGTTGACAGCATAATCTATCATATAAGTGACATGGTGATTATTCAAAGGAGAAAGAAAAAGATAATGACTTATGCAAATGTATATGCACGTATGGAACAAGCCAGACCATGGATACTCTCATACGGCGCCTCGGGAGTAAATAAGTGTTATCATATTTGCTTAATTACCGCAAGTAAAAAAAAGAAGTAAAAAAAACAATAAATAAATAGTAAATCATCCCAACGCTAGGAAAAAAAGAAACTCCTGTGCGCGCCTGGCCTATTCAAACGTAGTCAAAAGATGGCCACGTCTGGTCGCTGCCTTGACCAAGTCCACGCACGGTTGCATGATCGGCGCGCTCAGCAATTTAACAAGGGCGCCCGCGCCGCATAATTAAATTGAAAGGAGCACCAAGTCTCAGGGTTGCTTGTCTATAAGTAGCAGGCTAGTGCAAACGTTCGAGGCCCCCACACACATACACATACACATACACATACACATACACATACACATACACATACACATACACCTGTTCCCTGATCAGAGAAGCAAGCACCGCTAGGCTGTTGCGTTGCTCTTCCACACACACACATACACCCGCTCCCTGATCAGAAAAGAAAATACCTGCCGCGTTGCTCTCTCCGATCCAGAGCGCCGTCAGGCTGCCGTAGGAGAGATAAAAAGCTGCTGCTTTGTCTGAGGTCCCGAAGAAGGTGAGGCCACATGGCGCTTCTCTGATCCTACCCCCTCCCATCGTGCTTCTCATCTTCGGCTGCTTCATCCACAAGCGTCATCGGCAACTTCGTCGGCGAGCCTTGCGTCCTCTATTCTGGTACAAACAGGGCCAGTGAGGACGGTGCTCCGCACATGGGCATCATGCCTTGGTAAAGGTATAAGGGCCAAATGGCCGCGCTATGCGCATGGGCTGCAAGCCCCGGTGAAAACTCGGCCAATAGTGTCATGACCGCACTTTGCGCACGGGTGATATGCCCCGGTAAAGGTGTGAAAGGCCAACAAATATTGCTCGGTGAAATTCTGTTGAACGTGATTTTGGCTTCAACAACGTACTGCATATATAAGTGTATATAAATATATTCATCTTCTGGCTAGTTAGCATTTTCTGTACAAACTAACTAGCACTACGTCAAATTCTTACTGTAGGAACGGGGGCATTTTTACTGTAGGGGTGGCTGGGGTTGGGGGCGCCCCTACAGTGGGCGTCCTCGAACCCCAGCAGCCTAGCCGCTCCTACAGTTGGGGTTGATCTGTAGGGGCGGCTCAATCACCAGCCGTCCCTGCAGTGCCTATTTGTCTTTTTTAAAAATTCAAAATTTGAAAGGTTCAAATTTAGTTAAATGACAAGATAACCAAAATAAAAGTTGTAGATATTGATGAGTTGAACAACTTTTGTATTCATCACTTTTACATCTGAAATCATTTATGGTTTTAAAATTTGGTTTGAACTTGTTAAATTTCAAATTTTAAAATTTAAGATGCGTAAAACATTGTCACATCCAAGTTTGATCAAACTTAAATGCTGAAACATGATTTTAGAAATTTTTAGGAAAAAAAAACCATCACATTTGGAGTTAGTATAAGGGAGAACAACTAATTACAAAGTTTACCCACAGATTAAAAAGAGAAATCACACTGTTCTAGATGATCCTTACATGATCATACTGAACAGTGTGATTTCTTTTTTTAATCCGTGGGTCAAATTTGTAACTAGTTTTTCTTCCTCATACTAACTCTAAATCTGATGATTTTTTTTTCTAAAATTTTCTAAAATCATTCTCTATCAATTTATTTTGTTGGTTTTCTCAATATATACATATGAAAAGTTTGAGCAATTTAAATTTTGAATTTCAAAAAAATGCAACTTCAGACAAGATTTTGGTACCCCAAATGATTTCAGCTGAAAAAGTGATAAATACCAAAGTTGAATAACTCATCAAGATCTACAACTTTTGTATTTGTCATTTCTTCATATGACAAAGTGGTAGTGACATTGTTCACAAATGTGACACATCTCTCATATGGTTTTATAAACTATATGAGACATATGTAAGATTAGTGAACAATGTATGCTAAAAATTTGTCAAATGAAGAAATGACCAAAATAAAAGTTGTAGATCTTCATGAGTTGAACAACTTTGGTATTCATCACTTTTTATGTTGAAATCAATTTAGGTCTCAAATTTTGGTTCGAACTTGTCGTTTTTCAAAAATTCAAATTTGAAAGGTTCAAATTTTGTCAAATGACAAGATCTCAAATTTTGGTTCGAACTTGTCGTTTTTCAAAATTTCAAATTTGAAATGTTCAAATTTTATCAAATGTCAAGATGACTAAAATAAAAGTTGTAGATATTAATAAGTTGAACAACTTTGGTATTCATCACTTTTTATGTTGAAATCATTTTGGGTCTCAAATTTTGGTTCGAACTTGTCATTTTTTAAAATTTTAAATTTGAAAGGTTCAAATTTTGTCAAATGACAAGATGACCAAAATAAAAGTTGTAGATCTTCATGACCTCTACAACTTTGGTGTTTATCAAATTTTCATTTGAGATCATTTGGTATCTCAAAATTATTTTAGTAGTTTTGAACTAAAGTTGCTATTTTAGCTGTATCACAGTATAATTTACCTAGACAAGCCGGACATGCTCCTCCGACAAGAGCCCTGTCCACGTCGGTAGAAATTTTTTCCTCCATCGGATTTTCGAATCGATGGCCCAGATCTCTTGAATCTGATTCTCGTCCGGAGCAGCTTTCCGTCGTCCTCTCCGGCTTCTTCGAGTTCTTCGCGCTCTTATTTACCTTCTACGGCTTCTTCTCAGAATCCAGCGAAACGAACATAATATCCACTTCCGATTTGCCTTCCCCAAACCTCTACTTCTCCTTCCCTTCCTCGCTCTCTCTCGTCCGCTCCTCCTCTCCCGATCTCTCGGCCGACGACGGGCTGGGCAGCGGCACCGGCCCGCCAGCA